GCACTGACTGTGAGAAGGTGCTGTAGGCTGCTGCAGCCATCCAGCTTCACAAACTGCTACTGACAAGATGAGAACGGGGCATGGCACCTATGAGGCTCAGAGAGACACACACTGGGCACTCACACACCAGTAGCCACCTTTAAAATTTCTCTTTTGGGACTGAGTAATACACTGAAAATAATAGTGTCTTTCCTCAACAAAGTTTGACTCGGCCATATTATCACTGAAGCACAGACAGACCTTCTACACAAGATTATATTAAATAAAACTGTTTACTTTATATGTTGTTACATTAACTCTGTTCCTTCTGTAACTTCTTCTGTCACCACAAATCACATCGCAGTCTTAGATGTTTGGGTTTTTTCCTCTGAACAGGTAATGCAGAGTTCATTTCCCTCTAGAACGCACTTTCTCTTCTAATTCCACTACCCAAACACATTCTGTGTCTTTGAATCTCTTTATAAACCAGTATTTGCAGGGGCAGTTCCTTCAGGGAATCTCTACCACCTACAGTATTGGAGGAAAGCTTCCTCTGCTCCTCGTGGGAAAAGCCCTTGGCCTGAGCAGCAAATGCATCATTGAACCTGCTGGTGCTGACCAGGAACCTCTTCCTGCGGTTGGTGGTGACATCCACAGAGATGACTGGGTATTTCATCTGAGGAAGAACAGGCTCTGTGGGATGAAAGACATCCCAGTTTCTATAAGAACGTCTGACATCTTTAACCTCATTGGGTAAAGGTCCAGGAGTCTCTATACCTGGGTTTGCTGAGACAACATCCAGCACCCGTGTGCTGCCTCTTGCTACCTGTGAGAAGTGGAGATCAACCAGGTAACATGCAAAAAACACATGAAGAGGTGGGACCAGAGAAGTAATTTTGCTTCCCCAAACAGTGATAAAAATGCCCTCATGATCCCAGTGCACTTGCCATAACATAGTAAGGCCACAATTAGCACTTAATGCTATTTGATAAATATGCTGATTAAATTAGGTAACAGTAATCAGTAACTGCACAGATAAGTGACAAATTTGACCAGTCATCAGTGTTAAACAATCCTAAGGAAACAATACATTAATTCTGCTCTCCATTTTAAGGTTGGATTTGGGCATCCCTCCCTGATACCCTGCAAAAGTCATCTTCTGATATTGCAGATACATTTGGCTGTCAAAGGGTTCTGTATTTCTTTATATTTATTACTGAACTGGGGCCAGAAACCTCATCTATTATTTGGGGGGGGGGGGGGGGCTGTGAGAAAGTGAAGAATAGAATGAAATTCTGGTCTGAAAATTTATAATGCCTTCAGGAAGGCTTTGAAAGAACAAGATTAAAGGTACGTTTTCAAGGCTCTGATAAATCCAAGTCATAGAGTAGACACTTTGGGTGCTCAAAGGCATTTCCCTGGGCTTGGGAACCCCTGGGAATCCCACAAAACATCTGCAGAGGCTTCTCACACTTCCCCCTCAGACCCCACTTAAGAATGGGTCCTGCCAGGTATCTGTCAGGGATGGAGCTTGCTGTAACAGGGCATCCTGTTCAGCCAAGCCTCACACAGCGTTTCAGAGACTGACTTCTTCTTTGCACTTCCCATTTTGTGGACTCGCACCCACAGAGTCCTCAAATACAGCACGAATGCTTTCCAGCATCCTCCTTCAGCAAACTTATACTCTTAAGGTTAAATATTAGCCAGCAACAGCTCACGTATATAGGAATTGGCATTATTACTTGAGTAACTGCGCATTCCCAGGGTGGAGGTGTGAGCTGCACACAATTCCTCCTGGACCCCTCGACTGTGCAGAGGAGCCAGGGCACAGAGCAGCAGCTCATCTCACCCTCCTCCCTCATCTGCTGCCACCACACAGCCCATCACAGGGATTTCAGGCTCATGGTTGTCATGAGATCTACCCAATTCTGCCACCTCATTTGCCCTGTGCCAGAGGCACCCAGTGTGCACCGTGTCTTGCAAACTCGCCCAGCAGAGTACAAGCTGCTGCTGCAGGAGGGCTTGGTCTGGGCAGAAGGCAGCCCCATAAACTGGCTGCTGACCTTTGGTTCGAGTACCAGTATTTAGCAAGCAAATATTTCAAACCACACCATTAAGGAGAGAGCCACAGCTTTACCACGGGGAACTTGGGCAAGGAGTGCTGCTGAGAAAGGCCTGGGCTGTGCAGGGAAAGGAACAAGCAGCCTTCTTCCCCTCCTCTCCCCTTCCTGGCAGAGCAGCCAGCCCTGCCCATTGTGCCCACACCAGGGAAGAGGCAGATGCTTAGACCCCAACTAGCCCTGGAGAGCTGAGTGAAGCTGATTCAACCCAAAGGCAAAACAACCGTGGCTCTCTCTCTGGCTCACGTTGCCTGCTGCTCCACACAAGTGTGTGAAGGGGAGGCCACCTTGTCCACCTGGCTGCCCAGTGTGACCAGAGCATGGCTGGCCCCAGGGGACTGTCCCCAGCTGCTGGTCTGTTGCTGTGGCTGGGAACCTACATGCTGACAGGTCTTCAAGAAATCAACTGGTCTCAGCCAGGTGCAGCAACAGGCCAAGAGGGTATATTTTTTGCCCTCGGGTGTGGTGCAGAATTAGCTCTGTTGGTCAGGGTATAATTAGGTGCTTGCACCTAACAGTATTCTTTCTGTTGGATTTTTATAGTTTTGTCCCTCCTTTTTTCAAAGTGAAAAATAATCAGTCTTAAAAAAAAAAATGTCCCTAAAAAGAGTGATGTATAAAAAGGGAATCCCGTCGCCAGGGGGGATGCCACAGCGGGGAGCCGAAGCCGCAGAAATCCTGGCCTCAGGCTTCCCTTTTCCACAGCTACTCAGAGGTTAACCAGGGTGTGTAAGCCAAACAGCTTAAAGAAAGAGCCCAGCTTAGTGCCTGTGTGTCTGGGGCTATCCCAGGGATCGCCAGCCTAATGCCCTCCCGGGAGCCCCTCCCTCGCTCCCTCCCTCCCTCCCAAAGGCGATGCTGGGCACACGGATCCAGCCCTCCCCCTCTCCCTGGGCAGCCGGGGAGGAACCCACTCGGGGAAGGGACAGGGCGCGGGGCTCGGGAACATCACAGAAGGAGGTGTTCCACTTTATACGGGCGCAGAGCCACGGCTATATAAACCCGGGGGCGGCAGCCCGGCGGGATTGCTGAGCACACCCACACCTCGGCGGACTTGGCAGCCCGGCCGGCCATCCCGGCGGCTCAACCCCCGTGGAACAGAGCACGGGAGCGACCTGCCCATGGGCTGTGCCTCCCCCCGCCCACCCTGCCGACACCTTTCCCCGCTGCCCGGCGGGCACCTCGGCGTGGCTTGGCCAGGAGAGGGAAATGGAAAGAAAAAAAGTGCTGCTTGCCTCTTTTCACCTGTGTAGTGAGGGGCTGTGTAAGTGAACTGCCTGCCCACCTCGCTGCCCTGGCAGTTTACTCAGCTAGGGCTGTGGAAACGTGGGTCACGTTCTTTTTGGATGGTTTTCTGCTATGAAGTTTTTGGCATCGATGTTTCTTCATAGAACTACCCTCTTTTTATACCAGTGACTATGGAGTAAGCAGTTTTAAATTTATCTGAATTGAAAATACCTTTTTTTAAGCCTGTTAAAAAATAAATGCATAACTGTCAGCTAGCACAAAGCCCGTATCCACAGTGGCCACACAACACTTAACTGGCAGGTCTGCAGTACAGTTAGAAAATAACCCCCCAAACCTTGTCTTAACCTATAGCAAAGGCTGCCTATTTAAGCAGGAAATAAAAAGTGCAAGTTGTTGGATCCAGCTCTGCTCACCTCCCTGCAGGTATGATCTGTGCTAAGGCAGCCCGTTCGTGGTGGAGGTAAGGACTGGACGCGCTCCTGACGGGAGCTGCGGCTCCGTGCAAGCTGCTGTGGAGGCTCAGGCTTTGCCAGGGCTTTCCCGGCTGGGTTGGTTTGGCTGCCCAGCAGTTCTTGGTTCAGTTATTAGCCGTGCACCTGAACACTGCAATGCACTTGTCTGGGGCTGACCCTCTTGGCTGCAGTGACCCTCCACCATCTCAAAGCCCAACCAGCTTTCGAAGAACAAAACAGGAGCATTGGAGGCCGCCTGGACGCCCGTGTTATTTCAGGCTCTCACAGAGCATGCAGCCCTAAGCTCTGTCTTTTGGACTCAATTCCCTTTGGGGCTTTCTCTCCACTTCCATGAGCAGCTCTGCACTGTAATTACAGTTCCTCGATCCTCAGAGATATGACTGAAAGAAGAATGGCCTTTCTTTTTCCTGGTGGGGTGCAGTTACCTTACACCAAACACAGCTGTTTTCAGCCAGTGACCAACAGAGCAAGTCCAGAGGTCCTGGCCAAGAGGTCAGTGATAGACAGCTGAAAAAAAATATATGAAGCTGCTCATCAGGAGGCCTGAATGTCTACAGAGAAGTGTTTTTTTTTTCTCCCTTGGAACATTTTTTGGAGTCTGCAAACTGAAGCAGGTTGAGAAAGCATCATTTTTAACCCCAAACCCAGAGCAGCTCATGGCTTGTGATTTCCCCTGAGATGCCTGAGAGCTGAGCCCGATTCTAACTCCAGAGCCCCACTGTTTAGACAAGGGAAGTAGTTCGTCTCTGCAGTCTCAAATAACAACCACCTAATGTGTTTTTAGCACGAAACCTGAACACTCAAGTAGTGTTTAGGTGAGCAGCATGGTTGCTTTTTCAGGAATGTGCATTTAATCTCTGAGGAATGCCCCGGGAAGCAGAAGGGGGCTGTGCAAAGTGGCCCGAGGTGCCAGTCACCGGGGTGAAAATGGTGGAAGGCAGCACTTGGTCTTGTTGGGGTGCTCAGGCTGCAGAGAGGGAGCAAAGCCCTGCCTTGTCCTTCATGGGGAGAGACCTGCCTTGTGTTCGCCCAGGGTTTGGATCAGGCTGGGAGGGTGAGCCAGCTGAGGAGATGAGGGGAGAGGCCCAAGCAGGGGGATTAGAGGCTAGGTTTTAATAGGAAAGCAACAGTTTTAATAATAGTATTGAGTCCTTGGGTGGTTTAGGAGATTAACTGGTCCATGTTTGCACAGCTCTTTGAAGAGGTCAAGAGTGCTGCAGTAGCCAGGAGTGGCAGGTCCCCAGCTCCCAGGTGCCACCTCCCTCGCTATCCAAGCACGCCACAAACTGCCCCTGTTGAGGAGAACTTTGTGCAGTCTGCTTTCCAGAGCAGCTGTGCACAGCTGGGACCAGCAGGTGCATTAGGCAGTCGGTCTGAGGGGTGTGATGCTACTGGTGAGCAGCTTTGCCGTGCAACATAGAGCAGTGCAAAGCACGCTTGGCCTTTCACAATAAGCCCAGGCAAGAACTTCTCCCATCTGTTGCTACAGTTAACAAGATAAGCATCAATATTTGCAGCCGTGCATCACAGTGGTTTGGGTGTTAGGGGCAGGGTACTCTTGGTTTCTGTAACAGTTGCTGCAAGGGTAGAGTCTGTGGTTTCTAAAAAAAGTTGCAAATTAACACGTGAAATCACAACACTGTTTTGGAAGACCTGTAACTCAAGAAAGCTCCAGACTGGTTTGGGTGGCCATCAGCATGTTCTGCTGACATACAGCTCCTTTTTTAAATTATTATTTTTTTATTATTATTATTATTTTTCCAAATTAATGCAGCCAAGCTCTGCTTTCCAGAGCAGCTGTGCACAGCTGGGACCAGCAGATGCATTAGGCAGTCGGTCTGAGGGGTGTGATGCTACTGGTGAGCAGCTTTGCCGTGCAACATAGAGCAGTGCAAAGCACGCTTGGCCTTTCACAATAAGCCCAGGCAAGAACTTCTCCCATCTGTTGCTACAGTTAACAAGATAAGCATCAATATTTGCAGCCGTGCATCACAGTGGTTTGGGTGTTAGGGGCAGGGTACTCTTGGTTTCTGTAACAGTTGCTGCAAGGGTAGAGTCTGTGGTTTCTAAAAAAAGTTGCAAATTAACACGTGAAATCACAACACTGTTTTGGAAGACCTGTAACTCAAGAAAGCTCCAGACTGGTTTGGGTGGCCATCAGCATGTTCTGCTGACATACAGCTCCTTTTTTAAATTATTATTTTTTTATTATTATTATTATTTTTCCAAATTAATGCAGCCAAGCCGATGTTACTACTTACATGGAACGTAATAACGGAAGTAGATGTAAATGCTGCCGACACTTCCAAATGCTCCAAAGAAAGCTAAAATATATATACACATTGGCTAACATAGGCACTCCACCCTTAACAAAATATACCCTAAGGGCTCAGGGGCTTATAGCTCTCCTTGTACACAAATTAATAGCACTGTCAGCTCTTTGCCATCTGGAGAATTGGACAAAATATCCTGAATAACAGGGGAAACTTGCATGGTATAAGGCACCTTGGGTAACATAGAAAGCTCACTTTTTTTCTGTAGAGCCCAGAAGCAAAGCACACTACAAAGCCCGTTGTCCCCTGCTGCTTCCTGTGCTGCTTCCTGTCCTGCTTGGGACCACAGCATAGCTAGTAAGCTTTTCCAGATTTGGGGTGCCATGAGGCCCAGCTGGCTCTGCATGCTGCTGGCATAGGCCCTGCAAAACTTCAACAGCTTGGTCTCCGTGATGTGCAAGATTGAGCACGCTGCTCCCAGATAGCATGTAGTTGCAACCACACACTAGTGCACCAGAGGTTGTAAGTCTTGCTTGACCTGATCTCCCTTTGCAGAAGTACCTCCAGGGTAGCCCAGCCCTCAGGTAAGGCTCCTGCAGAATCCCCTTCCTAGAGTGGGTGTCACGGCTAACCAGATTGTCAAGGCTGCACCCAACAATCCAGTCAAGACCCCCCAAAAAATCCTCGCTTTAAGGATTTTAAGCATATCTATGCCAGGCATGTTTAATCCTTGTGTGAAGCCATGTCCTGTCTTTGCAGTTTGGAGAGGTGCTGTGGGAAGATCCCATTCGCTGCACACGCGCGGGATCGTTGAGTTGGCAGGAGCCATATCGTGCGGCACAGGGCGCTCCCCCTTGGCCTATATTGGCTACGGATGCTACTGTGGGCTGGGAGGACAAGGCTGGCCTAAAGATAAAACTGACTGGTAAGATGAACCTCAACTACATGTCCAGAAACAGGGCAGGTCTCCCCACTCTTCCTCGTTTGTTCTGCTGTGACTCCATGAACTGGTTGCTGCCTTGTGGAGAGTGAACTTGGTGTGAAACAGCACTGGGCAGTTGTGAGTGAGGACCCACATATCACTCAGGGTTTGAATGAGGGTTTAACCACCCTCTGGATGAGAGCAGAGTTCTTAGGAACCTGGTACTCTGTGGGGTGGAGGACAAAGGAGGAACCGGGTTATGAGTTCCTGAAATAGCCACATTTATTCATAGAGAGCAATCCCTGCCTGAAAAAAAAGTGAGTGGCCAAGGTGTTTGAAGAGTTATTTCACCCAGATCCCAAAAATGTCAGCAATGGGAATATCATTGTTGATCGTCTTGAAGAAATCCAGATCATTTCAAGGAGTAATCAAACCTGTTGCCTTCATTGCCTGTTAGTTCACAATGAATCGAGGAAGAACAACAACAGAGCAGAGCATAGTGGTATTTCCTCTCTTCGTTGTTAGAGGGGAATATGCTGTGCTTGTTATTCCCCAAGGCTAAAAGCAATGTGTCTAGGAAGGTGGTGCAATCAAAGGCTTGCTTCTTTCACTTTTGCAATTAGCATACATGTAAATCTTGAGCATAGTGGACCCTTGTGTGCTCCAAGCCTGGTGTTTGCAATCTTGTCTGCTTTTAAGCCTCAAAGGGGGCACACAAGTCTGTCTGTTTATTTACAGCCAACAGGCCAGGTGTTACAGATAAGCAAATGCTGCTTTCAGCAGGGGGGAGGGCAGTGCAGCTCACAGGGAAGGAAACTGAGCCTTCCAAAATACCCAGTTGGCCGAGACATTTCTCATTGCTACCAAACAAAACTTTGCTGAATTGGCAGGACAGAAAAAGAAAAGGAGGAAAAGATATCAATGTTAAAGACAAACTCCCCTGTGGGAATAAAAGAGTGTTCCCTAAAACTAGTGGACATGTCTTCATTAACACAGTAAGAAGTTTCACTACCCAAACCCTCCCTTCACATCACTGGCTTGTACCTATGAAACCTCGAGTACTGTGTGCAGTTCTGGGCCCCTCACTACAAGAAGGATGTGGAGTTGCTGGAGCGTGTCCAGAGAAGAGCTACCCAGCTGGTGAAAGGTCTGGGGAATAAGTCCTATGAGGAGAGGCTGAGGGAACTGGGATTGTTTAGTTTGAAGAAGAGGAGGCTGAGGGGAGACCTCGTTGCTCCCTACACTACCTGAAAGGAGGTTGTAGGGAGGTGGGAGTTGGCCTCTTGTCTCAAGTGAATAATGACAGGACCAGAGGAAATGGCCTGAAGCTGCACCAGGGGAGGTTTAGACTGGATATTAGGAAGAATTTCTTTACCAAAAGAGGGGTTGGACAGTGGAACAGGCTGCCCAGGGAGGTGGTGGAGTCTTCATCCCTGGAAGTGTTTAAAAGAAATATGTATCTAGTGCTTAGGGACATGATTTAAGACTAGGTTATGGTTGGTGGATTTAGGTTATGGTTGGACTTGATGACCTTCAGGGTCCTTCGCAACCACAATGATTCTGTGATTCTGTGATTTCATCTATGAAAGAGTCAATATGGGACTTACAAATAATGAGTAACTGTCTACAAATTGTCATTAGCTTTCAGGTGTAGAGATTTCTTTTCGCTTTCAGTAATATGTCTTGACCTGTTTATCACCACCTACGGCATTGTCTAGAAATGTCCTTACCAAATCTCATCATCAGGCCTTTAAAGTAAAACATGACTTCATTACTGAAGCATGCTGAGTGGAGTCACCTAAAAGCTGTTTTACACAGACATCGGGTGACCCCCAAGTGTAGGTGACTCTGGGAGATGCACTCTTGAAAAACAGACAGAGAGAGTAAAATATGGCCACATGTTCATCAGCTGGTGTTTCTGCTCCTCTTTCCTTTCCATGGGATATGGATTTTATCCTAATGGCAGAAAATTAGACTCTGCAACAGGAAATGCCCCAAAACACCAGATAGCTTGTAAAAAGGAAGCTTGGTCCTTTAAATGCATTCATTATTATTCTTCAGCTGCAATGCTTGGCTGCAAAAAAACCAAGCAGCCAAACACAGAAAAGTTTTTAGTTAGGTTCTTAGCTAGGAAGAATCGTCAATGCCCCACCAGATTTAGCCCTAAAATTTGCCATTTTATGTTTGCTGGAGGAATCTTTTGATATCTGTTACTGACAACTACTGCAAAAATCAGTGTTGCTGAGGACTCTATGCCTGACAACGTGATCACGTTATACTCCGTATTTGCCATTCTAAAAAAGAAAGAAGTGGAGAGGCAAAACCACTGGCCACAGAGTGACAGTGTTGGAAATAACTGACCCCCTTGGCACTTACAGGTTTGTTACTGAGACCATTACAAAAGGAGTAATTTTCTTGTGAGTAATTAAGTCAATCTGTCTAGACAGGGCTAGAGTGCTTCTAAGCACCTCTCTTTTTATGGGAAATGAAAAAAAGCCATAGAGTGGGTAACCCTTTTATAAGGTTTATTCCACACTCTGACTTTGATGTGGGTTGTAATTACCTTTTCACTTTTGTTCCACTCTCACAGTCCCATCACTTCAATAAATAATGGCCTCTCTTCCACATTTATGTGGAATGGATTTGTTTCTCCTTCCTCTTTCCGTTCCCCTGGATTGCTGCTTCACCCATTTTGTGATGCAGGACCTGAAGATGCTCAGCTTCTCCCCAGAAACATGAAGGCCATGAAAGCCAGGGTGGCACATATGGCTGATCCAAGTTCTGGAAAACTCGTAGGGAAAAGTATTATTTCCCCTCAGTTGTGGAGTTAAAGCAAAACAAAAGGACACACAGCGGTGTCAGTGCTGTTAAGGTGACAAACACAATGTGACAAATTCTTACCTTAAGGGTGTTTGCTCCACAGCAGGGGTCTGGCCAGCTGATCCCTGTGGGTCAGCCAGAGCTGTCTGTAACCTCTGGGGCTGCCCCGTAGCCCAGACATGGTGAATAGGTTGCTTACTAATTAAATGACACCGTTGTATTTGTTTTCCATACCTGTTGACCAGTGCTCTGCCATACTGTTGGCTGACTGTTTGCATTGGTTTAACTGAGTGTTAGCAGGTTATTAAAAGCTGAATAACACACTCTGACCCAGGTGCAGGAACAGGCATTTCTAGACATTTATCCTTGGAGGTCATTAATAGACATGTAGATGAGGTGCTTATGGGCATAGTCTAGCACTGGACTCAGTAGAGTTTGATTCATGGTTGGACTTGAGGGATCTTAAAGGTCTTTTCCAAACAGAACAATTCTATTATTCTATGACTCTGTGATCTCAGACCTTTATTGGATTTTCAGGTATACCAGCCTTAGGTCTTAAATATAACAATCAAGGTCTTCAACTGGACTTGGTAATCTATTGGCTGCCAGCACAGCCATGCTCCTTTTTGACCACCTCATCAGTCTCTTGAACAAATTCACATTAGGACTCAAGAGCTTCTCTAAAAGCTGTCTGCTACTCATTCACCCCCAAGATCAGCCTGCCTGGATGCTTCCCAGGTAGTAGAGCAGTTTCTCTGTAGAGTCCCAGTCATCTGACATGGACAGCTTCTGGAAATGCAGGAGAACACTCCTCTGGTTCCAGCCTCTGACCTTGCTTCCTTGCTGAAACAACTTTCGTTGTTCAGCAGTGGACCTCCCTAAGTCCTGAATCCTTTATTGGTGTATTTTGTGTCCCTAAACTGCCAGAATAAAACACAAATGGGGTCAAGTTTTCCAAAGTAATTGACAGTGGAAATTATCTCACTAGCTAGTCTGTAGGATAGCTGTCATCAGCTCTGCTAGTCACTTTCAGCCCTGAGAGTGGTCAATGAAAAGCAATTGCAATTTCATGTGATGTTTTTCACCTAGTTGGATCTGTAATAAGATATTATGAGCTGTGCCCCAGACATGCATAGAGGTAGTATAGCTCTGAAGTTAACTAATTTGAGTTCCACTATTGAGGCTGATGAGTCTGTAGCCTTAGAAACTGGATGGGCCAAAAAGCATGTGGTAGGTCCAGGTGAGATGAAGAGATTAAGCTGCTTGGTGATGCTGAGGAAGGCAAAAAGCATCCTGACTTTCAAATTCTGGGATGGGTCTAAGTCTAAGCTGGTGAGCCATGATCACACACTTCATAGTGAGATTACCATGTATTGACCACACCTGCCTTTCTGGGGGCAAAAACTTGGAGGAAGAAGCTCAGTGGTCATGGGAGCAAATATGGCAGTAATGAGCTCCTGAGCTATGTGATCTTTCACAGGATGCCAGGATGCTTGGTGAATCAACAGCTGATTTACTGGGGCAAACATCATGTGAGTGGAACAGTCCTGGATCACATGCAAACACTCCTGAGCAAAACATGCAGGAAGCAGGAGGAGGCCCAAACTCTACTTTTTCTTCTCTCCCAGGTGCTGCCACAGGCACGACTGCTGCTATGACAAGGCAGAGAAGGAAGGCTGCAGCCCCAAGTCGCAGCGGTACCAGTGGGTGTGTGAGCAGAACACTGTGAGGTGTGGTAAGGAGATGCTCACTTGCCTCGGGTTCACTTCACTCCCTCCTCTGCTGGCACGAGGCTGACCCAAGAGCTTTGTGTGCCTCGGAGGTAGATCTGTGTATGCTGAGATGGTTTCAAAGCCACTGTAGGCAATGTCTCTTCTCTTCCAAGCTCTTTGCTCACCCCTTTCCTGGGTCGCTAGGCTTGCCAAGAGGCCCCAGCTAGAGCTGGGAGGAACGTGGGAGCCCCAGCACCACCCGTCCCAAGCAACCTGAGTCCTCTCCAGGCTGAAGAGCAGGAGTGGGGGTCATGGTGCTGACAAGCCATCTCGGTTTGGCAAAGATGAAGATGCTTCCCTGGGGGTTGTCTGTCCACCCACACTAAGCACCACCTGCTCCTCGCTGACACCTTCCCAAAGCTGTGCAGTGGTCTCGATGATCTGCCTGCCACTGCTTCTGCAGGGCTGGTTTTTCCATGGCACTTTTGTCCCTCCCTCCAGCAGGACTTGTAATGGTTTTACTATTATGTACCGCCAGAGAAGAGCCATGCTGTTATGCGTGGCTGTTAGGTTAAATAGGGTGCCAGCCTGCATCTTTGCCTTGTGTGGGACTCCAGCCTCAAGCCCTAGGGCTCCAGTGGGGATTTTAAAACATGCAGAACTGAATGTCCTCGAGTGCCACAGGCACACAGTGAGTGTAGGCTGTGCTCAGCTCTGCAGCTGGTACCCAGTCAAGAAGGTCTTGAATTGCACAGTCACAGCCCATCAGTGGCTCACACTCGTTTGTTTTGACATACACCAGATGACTTGAGTCTTAGAATTTGTCACTTCTATTTCTAAGGCTACAAATTCTCTCTGATGGTAAAATCCATTGTAGAACACTTTGGAAGTCTGAAAAGAAACGTGAGAGTAAAGCTTGTCCCCATACCATTGAAGCTACTTGCTTGAATGTTAAAAGACTATTTCTATGTTGTCAGAAGATCATACTCTACCTGTGCAATCCTCAGCCTCTCCAGCAGCTGAAAAAGAGCCAGCAGATACAGGATGTGGCACAACACATCTGCAGTTGCCCTTTTCCAAGTGCCAGAACAACCTATGAAATATTAAGTGCTGACTGAGGAATATACTGCTTTAACTAATCACTCCCCTTCCCACTTACACATATTTGCATAGCTGGCTGATATTTTTTGCTACCTATTTTGCTATGGAAAAAACATTTCCTGTTTCTTTTTGCTGTAAAGAAACAATCCTAGTTGCAGATACATTGTTGAGACCATGAGACATGTACAACACATGTGCCATAAGAGTGCACTGGGCTGCAGTTGTTCCAACCTGGCTAGCAAGCACTTTTCGCTGGTGTTTCAGAATTTGTGAAATGAAAGGAAGTGGGCAAAACCATATTTTTCAGTTCAGATATCCCATCATACGTAAGCAACTTCCATTAAATAAATATCTAAACATAGAAAAAGCTGCATGCTGTGGGGGCTGGTAAAAAACTCCAAAACATTCTGCTTTAACAGAAATGATTGCCAAATCAAACTCTTATACTCATGTTAGATGGGCAGTGGTTGGCACAGCATAGGAAAAACTCGAAGAGCAGAAGGCAAGAAGAAAATCGTACAGAACTGGTAGTTAAGACAAAAAACCTGACTTTGTGTAGAGTCCTCATCAGTGGGACCCTTGAAACCCTTTCTACTAGTAAACAAGTGATTCTTCTCAAAACAGCTTAAGAAATATGGGCTCTTGTTTGTCAGGTACAGGGCTGATCCAGCAAAGTCCAGTGAAATCTGGAAGTGCAGTTGGTTTTGGAGCAAAGCACTGGCATTAAGTTAACATTTTAAATTTTACCTAGTGCAGGGTTTGGTGGGTGTTAGGTAATGTATAGCAGCAGCCTCAAATAAACAAGGCATTGTGCTTTGAAATAGTATCACCTATTAGCCCAATGGCTGCATTATAGCCACCTATAGGTGGGATGGGGTTAATTAACCCAGCATCAGTCAGAATCACAGAATCATTCTGCTTGGAAAAGACCTTTAAGATCATCGAGTCCAACCATAATATAACTCTACCAGCCATTCACCTAACTCTACCAAGTCCAAAACAATTGCATTTGCATGTAGCTAATTGCTTTGATGTACCACTTCACTAGCCAAGTAGTCATATAATTGCATTATAAATAGTTCCATATGTATGATTTTGATCAGCTTCGTTAGTTGCTGACTCAGAAAAATGAGGTACCTGACCCTGCTGTGGGGTCCCTTGGCTCCTCTGCTGTGATCACAGACATGTAAAAAGCAACTCATGAAGCACAAGCAAGGGATGCCCAGTGGGGACTTCTATCTCTTCAGGTTTTTGAATGTCCCTCTTGGAGACTCCTCCTTTCCAAGCAGCATGTTTCTTTTGAAACTAACCCCATATTGTTCATACAGCTCTAGAAGTGTGTGTGGGGGCACTCTGTGCTGGGCAAATTTCTGTAAGTGTAATCAATTTACATTTAGTGGCTACTTTCTGGTGCTCTTGGTCACAGTAAAGGTCAGACCTGTTGAGAGAGACAGGACAGAGGAGGGTCAGATCCCCACAGAGCACAACATGTTGATCCTTCTCTCTTCCTGTTCCCACAGCCTCTGTTCCCAAAGAACTGCTTTTTTAGGGAATTGTTCACTCCTAAAGCTGTTTCTTGCCTTTGTCTGATACAGAATCCCTTATCTTCCACTCCCATTTTATTTTGCAGATAACCTGACAGACCGGTGTGAAAAAATGGTGTGCCTGTGTGATCAAGAAGCAGCCAAGTGTTGGGGAGCAGCACCATACAACCCACACTTGATCCTCTGGCCAGACTTTTTATGTGGACAGACTCATCCCACATGCCATTTCAGATACAGGGGGCCAGAATAGTCTTTCTGGGACCTTTCTTCTAACCCTTCAAATCTGAAGGTGCTGGAATAAAATTTTACCTCTTTTACTGGAGCTAACAATGGTGTGAGAGAATTTCTATCATGTCAGGGTTTATGGGGAGGAGAGACAGGAGAAAATACAAGTTGGTATAAGGATAAGATCCTGCTGTAATTGCTGTTTTTGCAGAAACTGAGGGGTTTTGTCTGCAAGTGCAGTGAGAACACATTATCCGTTACTAAATGGTAATTTTTTGTCCTTTCACATTGCCTGACCTTCAGCTCTTACAAATTTTCACATGATGTAGAAAATATGTAGGGACTTCTGCTGGAGTGGTTTGGAAAAAAACCCAAACCCAAAACTAACATAAACTCCATCTCTGTGAAAAGACACACTGGCCTTTGAAGACCTAAGGCATGTAAGGAGAGTGACCCAGTTTATTTTCCTGGACCTGTGAAGGAGTATGGACATCAAAAAGGGAGGATGCCTCCTTATTTGTCCTCAGAGGAGTTCTGCATCCTATCAAAGAGAAAATCAGAATCTGGCCCAGGAGAGGGCTCCATCCTTTCTTATGGGGCTGTGCATGAGTTTGTCTCTTAGCTTATATAGCCAGTTGCTTTATCCCTCATGTTCCTGTCTGGCAGCACCAGGGATACTTCTGAGGTGTATTCAAAGGTGAGCAGAGTTACAGCCTTGCTGGCCAGCAAGGGTTTCTGGCTTTTACTAGTAGGCACACTCATACTTTGCAAAAGAACATATTCCTCACCTGTCACACACTTCAGAGCTGATATGCTGCTCTCCTATACAGGTATTGGCATATTCCCCAGTCACTGATCACCTGGGAATCAGTTTTTGTCGTGTCAGGAAACTGACTGTGGATAACATTTGTCAGGTCAAGCAAATTTTTTATCATTCCTTTTTTTTAAAAAAAAAAAAAAACCCAAACATTATCTGAGTCTTATATTGAAAGTTTCCTTCTGGCAAGAGTAGATCAAAACCCTGTTCTTTTAGCCAGGGGTAGATTTGTTCAAATGGGCCTTTCTTTGTCTCTTAATGACAAGGCTGTAGGCTGGAGCAAGCCAAGTGGACAAGAGCCTCTATACCCAGAAGTGCAGACAAGATGGGAACACCAGCTGCACCCCCAGAAGAAACACACTCAGTTTCCTTGGGTAGGTGTCAGCAGCTGGGGAGCTGGGGGACCTGGGGAGACCAGGCTCCTTCTGTCCCTTCTCAAGCACAGCTGATGAACTTGGAGTAACAGCTTTAAAATAAGACCTTATGGCAGGGAAAGACCCAAGGTACTTCGTGGGAGTCTACAGTCAGAGATACGTGGCCAAACTAAGTGAGGCTTTGGCAGGTGACAACACAAATTTCTTTACAAAAGGCTGTTCTGCTTCTCCCTGCAGGAGGATGCTGAACATGCCAGTGCGGCTGTCGAAGCTGCGGGAAAAAGGAACAGACTAACAAAAATTAAAACGCCAAAGACAAGACGTACTAAGGTGAAAGCTTTTATTCCATCTAGAGCTCCATTTTTGGCTTACAGGGCATCAGACATTTTTCCACCTGTAGGCTTTGCATCTTCCAGCCCCTCCTGTAAATGCTGCACCTCAAACTGCACCGAGGAGCAAGAAGAGAAAGGAGAGAGCGTGGGTGAGCGATACGGAGTCAGCGCAACACGGTCAACTCTGCCAAGGCTTTCTGGCAAGTAAAGAAATGGTGAACTCTGTTCATGCAGAGGGTTTGCTGTGCGGGTGCGGGTGTGCATCTCAGCAAGGGTTAGAGGGCCCTCGGTAAGCCGGGCAGAGCTCCCTGGCCGTGTTCCTGTCCCCGCCAGGCTGGCTGGCCATCAGATGGCGGCAGCGCCCCAGTGAATGGCAAGAGCAGCTCTTCCTTTAGCCCTTCAGGGAGGGGATTGTTTTTTTAAGCGGGCCGAGAAGATTTTTGAGTAATTTTTGAGTGCCGGGAGAAGAGGCGCAAATCACGCGGCTCCCCACAGAAAGCAAAAAGTCGGCTGAGCCTGGCCTGAGAGGCAGATCGTATCTGGAGTTGCACAAAATGGGAACTAAGCTTGTTCCAAAATCCAGCCTTCGGTGTCAGCCTGCTCTAATGAGAGCAGCTGATAGAGCTGGAAAAAACAGGCGAGATTTCAGGCACACAAGCCTCTTCTTGGGTCATTTCTTTGGCTTTCGTGTGAGAAAAAACATCTAGTTTTCCCAACCTGATCAGGGTTGGAAAATAAAAATATATTACTGGGCTTTGCAAACAACACCTCAAACACACACTTAGCACAGGCTTTCTGTACACGAGCATGACAAGAATTAGGATGTAAGTGTGTAGTTGGTGGGAGGAAGAATCTAAACTAACAAGCACAAACCGAGAAGAACCAAAGGAGACCCAGGATTGTTAAAAGAAGCATAATCTCGTTGAACAACACTTTGCTGGAAGTGGCAATTGAAGAAGATCCTATGGTTTTATTTATATGTAACCCATAAGGCCCATGCATAAACATGAACAATACAAACAAAGAACTGTTTGAAAAAGAGATGGAATATAGAGCCAGCCCTGTTAGAGTTTCATCCACACTGCTTATTTCCTGAACAAGATGCCTTGTTTAACCAGAGGTGAGTAAATGGCTAATTCCTCCCAAATAAAAAAAACCCAACAAAACAAACAAACAAAAATGTAAGAAATAGCCAATTGGGCTCATCTTTCTAGTAGGGATGCCAGATTTTGGTTTGCGCTCCTTACCTTGGCGAGAGCCCTGTCTCATGCAGAGGACACACCTCCTCAGCTGTGGGGTTAACACAATGATCAGAACCACTATGCCTCCAATTCCAGCTGCCACAACCCCAGTGATGGTTCCAATGGATTCTTCTATACCAAACAAGCCTAGGGGAGAGGGGAAGGCAGAGAGAGCAACAAGGTGTCATCCAGGCAAGTATAGCAATGCAGAGAGCACGTCTTCTGCACTGGCTGTTGAGGAAGTTACTGATGATCTTGTTAATTGTGTTCATACCTTATCTGGCATGAAATCATGGGCTTCTACATGGGATAGAGCACATTGCACTATGGAGTTATTAATTTTTTTCCTTCCTTTGTAGGAAGCTGCTCTGCTTTCTGGGGATTTAGGGCTAGGACAACCCCATCTCCCTACCACTCTCCCTTAACAGCTGGATTTTACTGAGATGACAAAAGATGTTGCTGCCTGAATTAATGAGATTCATGCCCGTACGCTTCATTTTTTTGAATGGGAAAAAACATTCTGACAATTTTGAGCTCCCTGCCTACTTTCAAAAGAGAGAGCACCAGAGGGCTCCATTGAAGTTGTTTCTTTGTTTTGTGTCTTTTTGGGACCATTGCATGGCAGAGTATCACAATATCATTCTGTTTGAAAAAGACCTTCAAGATCATTCAGTCCAACCACTACCCTAACCCTGCCACATCCACCACTAACCCCTGTCCCTTGGCATCACATCTGTCTTTTCAGATATCTCCGGGGATGGTGGCTCAACCACCTCTTTGGACAGCCTGGATGACCCCAAAGTTCACACCATGTCCCTGCGGGTGTTATCTAAATGTTTCTTGAATATTGTCAGGCTGGGTGCTCTGTTCTGCTCTGTGCTACCTAGATGAATTGCTGGACATCCAGCAGCTCAACAGGAAACCACCTGTAGGTCAGCAGTAAAAAAAACAACCCCCTTTTCGCATATGCAGAGAGGTATCCTGTGGCTGAAATCCATTTGTAGGGCTGCTCATTTTATTAGGGACAGGAGGGCAATCAAGGTGCTGTAGACCCATCACTTTTCTTACTCCACAATATATGTCATTTGCTTCCTGTAATAGACAAGTGAATAGAGTCAGTTAATTAATCCTCTTTTTAGGTGAGTCTTTGAACAGTCTGGCCCTGCAGCATGTAACGTTTCCTTATGAATTATATTAGTTATGTTAATGGTTGGACTCAGTGACCTTAAAGGTCTTTTCCAACCAAAATGATTCTCTGATTCTTTATTTCTTATAGTCTCTTGTCCCTTGAATTCAGGCATAGTGCAGAAATTACATATTTCATCTTCTCAAGAACACAGAAAGGCAATTAAACTGGCCAGGGTGCAGACACTGCAAGAGTAACCTGCACTACTGAGACTATGAGATCAAGCCAGCAGGAGACCTCAACAGACACGTCACCAAGCCCTTGCAGGGAGGCACAGTCTTCTTGCCTGTTAGTGGTATAGTTTAAACTGAGTAGTTTTACAAAAATTAGTAACAGAAGAACTTGGGCTCAAAAGGGCGAAAGTGTGAGATGAATCTCAGTAAGCTAGAAGCTTTGCTAATGAATAGGGGGGGAAATGGCACTTGCATAATTCACTTTTGACACAGAAGGTGCAATTTTTTGTTAATTAGATAATAAACCTTCTGATGTGTTGATTTGTTGGGACCGGAGTGTGTTTAGCCTACATAAAAAGGAAAGCTGCCTTGACATTTCCAGCTGATGATGGCAAAGCAAGTAATCACTTGATATGTCTAGTGTCTGTTTGTGAGGCTAAGGACACACAGCATGACTCTCTTAGTGCTACTTCAATTTTAATGTGAATGAAGTTAAGCAGACATTATATAAGGTGATCCTCATGTTTACTGTGGGATTGTTTATGTCATCTACAGTTAAGGAATGAATATGCAAGTTAGAGGGTTGGAGACAATGTCAAAAAAAGAGTGTGGAGCTGCTCCCCAAAACGGTATCTTGACAGCTGTCACTCATGGGGCTTCTGCCAAACAGAGCTGTGAGTGCAAGAGGACTTGTTTGACTGTTTCGTTCTTGGCACTGACTTAGATTTTAGTGATAAAAGTATTTCTTTTTTCTCTTTTTTATTTTTATTTTTTTTTGTAAATGTACCTCCTTGTAATTATAAATGTGCAACTACTTAGAAAGGTAAGCTAATCAATAGTAGCTGAGCTAATGAAGACAATGAGAAATACTGTAGAGCAATTATACTCCATTACATCAGGCCCTACTTGCCAGAGGCCAAACAGGCCAACTTCCCTCATTCTGTGAGAGTGTAGACCAGTTTTGGAG